TAAATTAATGTTTCTTTATTTTCTCTTCCAATTAAATTAAAGTTTATTTATTTTTTGTTCCATAAAACTCCAGTAAATTAAAGCATGCGTTTTAATTTATGTTTTAAGAACTTTATTAATAAATCACTCTTTTTTGTAACATTTTTTTATAAAAATGAAATATTAAGGAATTTTTCCGGTTGATCAGATTCATATCATTTCGAAATTTCGAAAAATCGAGAAATGTCATCTGACAATGAGAAAAAAACTGTCATAAATTTCTTATCTGTCAGAAAAACTCATATAAATTTTATATATATTTATATATATATATTTTTATAATATATATTTATAATAATTTTAATTATAAATATTATTATATATTATTTAATTTATTTAGAATATATATTTTTATAATATAAATATAAATAATATTTTTATTTATTTTATAAAATATTTTTATGTATTTATAAGTAAAATTTTAAATACTCGTTAAGAAACAGCTTTGCATTCTGAAAACTTTAATAACCGACTATACGCTAGTGCGAGTAAACCGGGAATCTACGCGTCGGTGACGCGTGAGCGGATTCCCTGTCGACTTGCTCTTTTTTCGAGCTCATTTCGAGGTTGGTAAATAAACGAAGGCAAAGACCATCATACCTGTCCTGTCCGACTTGTCAAAATAAGGATTAAGAGTCTTAGCGCTGGCTTCAGCTTGCGTCCTTTACTCTGAAGCCGGCTCTCTTCGAGTATTTAACTCTTTCCCCGAGCACGAGTCAGTAAGCTGGTTGCTGGAATCCATCGAAGAATTTCGGTTGTAAATAGTACACTCTGCATACATACATGTACAGCGTGAGTCACATAACTGGAACATGCCGTATCTCTTGTTCGATTGCAGAATAGCACTAGCGCGTCGACTGTTCGAACACGAAGCCCCCAAAGTCCTGCAAAATCAAAACTAATTAATGCGAAACAGAGGAGCTTAGTAATAGTGATAGCTACTTTAAACCTTTTATGACGAACGTCATCTTATACATATATCTTGTACTAGAAATCGTAAGCAGAATTTTTATATAACTTTTATATAAAATCGGTATGCAACGAAACGGACGACTTCACGTTATAAAATCTTAGTAACAAATAATAACTCCGATGTGTTAAACTCAAATATTAACTCTGATGTGTTCGTTAGTCCGTGTTTCACTTATCCATTTTTGAAATAAATACATAAAATCCGTGGTCTAATAATCTAAGTGATAGTACTTTTATATTATCACATTGTCAATTTCTTTACTTCTTGAATTAGCTGTACGGAGTTTCCTATAAAAAAAATCTAGAAAAGGGATGAAACTATTGCAAGTAAAACGTACTGAAATAATCGATTAAACTGATTATAGTCTTTTTATTCATTTGTTAACTCTACGTTTAGAAGGATCAACGCGAGAATCTAAACACGAAAGCTTCTTCGATCATTTGTTTATTCAAGAAAAAACATTGACGTACCTCGTCGGTAGAAAATTCATGACACTGTATTTTTGGGAAATATCATTTCATTGACAGTAAAAATACTATTGTTTTCACATAACTCTAATGGATAAGTGAAGTGCACGGGGAGAGAACGCACCTGAAAGTAGAGAAACGAGGTTGAACGCGCGTTTTCACTGACGTATCGATACATTCGGGATTTCTACAGAATCTTGTGAAATATTATATTATCAATTTAATATTGATAACCTTCGGTATTGATAGAAACAGTATTTATACTATTCCGATCGAATGATTTTCTATACAGTACTGCTCAACGATGTCTTTGCATTCTAAATCCAGTGTCTATGAACTTTCACATTTAATGTTTAGCACCTGCCTCGATCTAATGTAGTGCACTTTCGCGGAACAGAAATTTTCAAACGGCCTCTGATAATGTGGTGTCGCGGCGGTCGTTAAGATTTTTCTTAATCGTTCATTTCAATAATTGCTGCAACATTTAAAAGCTTATTCATATTCATTACCTTACTCGAGGCGGATCTTGATTTTCCATGAACCATGTAATTTATAAAATGGTGAGAACGAATTAGGTGCGAATTACACAAGTGTTATCGTTTGTATACAAATTTGTTTGTAAATAGCTTTTTCATACATCTTGTAGCGGTATTTTCATGGTTTAACGAATGCGATATGGAAATGCGCGTAGTTTTTTTTAAATAGTTTTATTTGTAGCATGCGTGTAATCAGTAGAATGCAGATTTTATGCATTTATGAGAAGAATGAGTTTGCGAAATTTTAAATTGTAGGAAAATTAAAAGGATTTAAGAATATTTCTATATATTATTTTCAATCAATTAGAATCGTTATCGGCGGAAACAATTTTCTATTTGTTTTACGTATTTCTTTTTGCAAGAATTTTCATTTGAAAAAATTGTTCGAGTACAAAACGACTCAAAATATTCTGTACTTCTGTTTGTTTTGTCTTAAGAAGATATTGTCTTGCATGGCTAGCTAACTTTTCTCTGCGACATACTGCTACATTAGATGTTATTCGCCTCTTTTATGGAAGTCCGTGCAAAACATTTTAAATGAAAGATTTTTCTGAGAAACTGAACAGTTTATACATATGCACAGTCCTTGCAAATGAAGAAAAGACTTCAATTGAGGCGTTCCGTGCAAAAACAACTTAACCCAGTTTAGCTTTGGAAGCCAGAAAGACAAATGAAATGCTCATTTACTCGTTTTATATGACATAATTAAAACGAAATTTTCTAATATAATCAAACATTTTTATCGATTGACAATAAACTACGATCAAAATGCAGTCATTTGAAATAGCCACAGTCGTTAAGTATAAGAAAATGTTGGAACAGATATAAGTTGATTTTGCGATTATCGGATGTTCTTGTCTAGAAATGAAGTAAAATTATAGCAGAAAAATTTTGATGTATTGTTAATGAATTGTTAATTCTACCGCGCTCAAACACATTAATCATTATCGTCGTCTGAAATTTCATTTCAATGCTAGAACTATTTGCAGACTTTCTTCTTATTTGTACCAATATTTATAAAATACTTCCAAGAACACTCTCGATTCTCTGATTTTGGAGAAACCGCACACAATTCTATGTTTCACTTTTCTTATGCTAGTCAGCAAACAAGAGTGTCTTGTGTTTCTTTATTACTCAAATTATACGAACTTTGACATTTATCTGCCCGAACGAATTTCTATAATTTTCACAACTAATTTTGACATTTTCGCAAATGCGTTACAACATTTGAGCTTTTATACGAGCATTGCGATTTCTGTCGAAAATTCTTCGATTCGGCGGCAGCGTGCGCCGGCAATACGCCCGAAGTCAATAGTTTCGCTCGATGATCCGTCGTAATCGGTCCGCGAATTCGCCGACATGATTTCAAGATCGATTTTTCACGCCCCGTAGATACGGCACTGGCGCCGTTCCTTCTCCTGTTCCTCCCCCGGGAATCTCCCTCCACAAATGCATTAGCGGCGAGAGAGCTTTTAGTGACGTCACCCACGCACACGCACACGCGTACACGTGGAACCGCTCGCATACCTATGCCCTCGCATGCACACACACGTACACACACGCGAGCATGGTCACGCACACGCGCGCACCGGAATCGGGTTATACGGTGAAAGGAGCGTGTGTTCCATGCAGAATGTGCGTGGGGGTACTTCTGTTGCCGCTTCCATCAAGCTCCGTTTCGAGGACCCGACCTAATCTTTTGTCTCGTCCTCTTATCGGCGCTTTTTCAACGGCCTCTCCGCGGCTTCCAGAATTCGGCTGTTCCTCATATTTCATCCGAGCCGCGAGCTTTCCGCAGCTCCTCGAAAACGCATCCGCAAAGTTTCTATTCTATTCGGTGTCCGCAAAGCTTCCGCTACGTTTTTTTAATTGTTCGCTTAAGATTATTCTTAAGCGGAGACCATGACTGTTATAATAATCGACGAAAACTGTTATAAGACAGGTTTGAGTACTTGAAACAGTTATGCGAAAGGTTGAGCGCAGTCAAAATTTCAATATCCGTNCGAAAACGCATCCGCAAAGTTTCTATTCTATTCGGTGTCCGCAAAGCTTCCGCTACGTTTTTTTAATTGTTCGCTTAAGATTATTCTTAAGCGGAGACCATGACTGTTATAATAATCGACGAAAACTGTTATAAGACAGGTTTGAGTACTTGAAACAGTTATGCGAAAGGTTGAGCGCAGTCAAAATTTCAATATCCGT